TATTAACAAAGCAGTCTTGATCATTAAGGCTTTGTTTGGATTGGGCTTTATTTCTCAAAATTTATTTGCTTACATCATCATTATAATTTCCAATGCACCTTTTTACCTTTCCAATTACCTTTTTATCTCACATACATCACATCACAAAAAGTGCTACAGTAAAAATATCTCTAATAATTCACAATCCAAACAGACCTTTAAGTAAAACTAGCTAGCTTGCTCCAGTACGCTGGTTGGTTAATTACCATGAAGAAGCTGATGAATTATTACATTTGTGTTAAACCAAATCAAATTGAATTATTAGAAAATTAAAGTGTAAATAATAACAAGACACTTGATACAATATTATAGGTGACATTGAATTGACATAGAAAACATGTCACTGAAGATCTCAAGTGGGGCATTCCTCCCTTGCCCGCTGCCGATTGACTATCCAAGACTGCTATAGCCAACACGACGATTTAAGCTATGTGTTCCTGCTGGATTCATTTTGTCCTTATTCCCTAGCTGTCTATCTATCTCATCGCTTCTTTGCTTTTTCAATTATCTTATCTTTTGTATTTCACGCATATTACATCATCAAATATGCTATAGCCAAAAATTTAAAAAAAAATGAAAGAAATAGTTTAACTTTGAGGAGATATTTTCAGATTTTGTGACGTCTACTTGTATTTCTCATTCAAGAAGACATTTATTGTTTATGATAATTGTAGATACTACGTGACTAAAAATTGTAAACTTAATAAATTTCAATTTATTAAGTGCTGAATTAGAAACGGACAATTTTAAACATGGAAATTTTTTTTTATTAAATATTAAATTAAATTATCAAACAACGCCTAATTATCAAATAGGATCAATTTATTAAATATTAAATTAAACTATCAAATAGGTCAAATTTATTAAATATTAAATTAAGTTATCAACCACCGACCAGTTCCTTTGCATTCTTAGCCGTAACCCCGTGACATGCTCCGATAAGCCAAAGGTTTTGATGCTCCCAGAGTAACTTTTAACAGCATAAGAACAAGAAGAGTCTCCAAAACTCAGGACAGGAAGCAATCGCCTCATCCACCGCCTCTGCATTCCAGAACTTTCTTTCGCCCCTCTAACATCGTACCATCTTAGACGACAGCAGGCAGCGGCACACTCATTCGTCCATCCAAGGTAGCGGAGAGCCCAGAAGAGGAAAGAGAAAGAAATGTTCAAGAAGGCAGCGGAAGTGAAGTCACAACAGCGTCTATCTGGCGCCGACCGGAAGAAGCTAAGGCGAACTGTTGCAGTCCGCTTTCCCAATGCCTCCGATGCCGATATCGATTCCTTACTTCCTCCTAAGGTACTAAATGGATAGATTACTTCATGATGAGTGAGTTTTATGGACCATGATCAAGGATGGATGAGGGAAATGTTGCAAAATTTATGATGACTACTTGCGCAAAATAATTGTCGCCTTTCACCAAATGCTGCCTTTGCTTTAAGGGTTTTCTTATCATCAGTTGGGCTGTGGAATTTGAGGATGATAGGTGGTTCAAGATTGCATTTTTTTTCTTCTTTTCTTTGTTTGCACCACCACCCTCGGTGCTTTCACTAATTGGAAGAGGAAGAAAGAAGAAAAGGAATTCTGATGGCTAGTCTCTTTTTTTTTTTGGCTTGTGGAAACTAAAATTGTATTAATCACTTTATAAATTACCATGAATCTTCTTTTGGTTCATCGATATATCATGGCTCGCTCAGGCCATTTAGCGATGACTACCGCAAAATCTCATGGTGAAAAGTGATGTTCTTCTTTGTTCTATCTGTCTAAATAGAGTAAAATGCAGCTTCTTGATGATTACTATGCGGCTTAAATGTTCTGTAATTGTTTATGGCTCATTCGAACAAACGTGTATCTTAATAAACTGGTTAATGAGTACTCCTTTTTCTGTCATCTGGATGCCAAAAATGTGTGTGTGTGTGTGTGTTTTTTTTTTTTGGATTTTGTGTTAGGTTTAAACTCGGATGAGGAATCCAATGGGGTTCGCGTATGAGGTTTTGCTGTTGAAAGCTTCTGCCTGATAGGATCGCTTTGGTTGCTTTGAGGATAAGAAGAGCAATTCTTGCATAACAGATTTACAAAGTTCTTTTATTTTCCACTAAATTGCTAATTTCCAAATGTTTAGAAGTTAAATTTGGGGATTTTAACTTTTTATACCCTGGATGCAGAATTTCTTTTGAAATGAGAATTTGTTGCCTGAGAGCGAGCTAGAATATTCCGCTGAGGGAGCTAGAATGAAGTTGCTAAACCATATAGAGGGCATACCTGTTGGAAAATCCTGTTACTCTCTGCAACTCTGCTCATTTAGTTTTCCTTTATTGTGCAGAGAATAGGACTATATGCTGCACTTCACTGTATAAGGTCTTGTGTCTGGTGAGATAAGAGCCCTAATAGGACTAGATCGAATGACAAAAGTAAAATCTCGCACCATTTGGAGGATTTTTCTTAACAGGCTGTTGATGAGACCTGGGCTTTTGAATCATGACATCACTGAAATATATTTTCTTTTCCTAAATGGAAGTATGTCTAAGTTAGGCTCACAAGTCTTACTGAATAAACATATTGCTGGTTTTTCCAAGCTCATATATCCATGCAACGCCCTATTTTGGAATTCCTAAAATGATACATTCTGATGTGTTGTGCTGATTCTTGATGAATAAAGTATCAAGTAGTTATTTTGCCTGTCATATGTTTAACTCCGCTTGACCTGATTCGAATTATGACTTGTCTGGAAATTTAGGATTATAAATGAATTCAAGTACCATTTTGCTACTGAACTACTATGAGCCATCTGAACTTCAACTTCTATTTGTTTTTTGGTGGTGCAAACAAGTGTAGAGTTCCCCTTTCTCCTTCTAATATTAGATCAACAGCTGTCCTGTTCTGCCTTCATTAACTTATAGGATTTTATTCTCTCGCGTAAAGTCTTTTTGGTTCTTGAGAATGATGATCGTCCATAATCATATGGCAATGTCCCTCCTGCCTTCAACTACTCATTCGACTTTTCTCTCTCACCTCAGTCTTTTTGGTCCATGAGAATGGTGACAGCCCATGTTTGCATTTGCATTTGGCATGCCATATAAAAAAGAGAGGCCTTGTACTACTTAATTGTGCTCTTCCATCTGCAGTTTATCAATGATTAATAATCTATAAATGGCGAATCTCTAGTCTTGGTTTTAGTACTCAAGCGGATTTTGTTTAGGTACTTCATATGTATTCTTCAGGTTTCAACTTTTTCAAAATCTGTGGTGCTCTATGCATTATCGATGTTTGTGACCATTTGAAGTTCTAGGCCAGATAGTTGTGCAACTTGTATTTGTCTGCATAAGATGCTTTGTATTTCAACCTTTTCAAGGTGCCAAAATTGCTTGATGTGTTGTTGTTTTCCTGATAGTCTCTCAGCTTTGGTGCTTGTTTAGCAAGTTATCTGACAATTGGAAGAAAAATTCTTTCTATTTGCCTATCCAGGAAGTTTTGATATTTCTGTTATCAATTTTAACTGAATCTATTGCTGCTGTAAATCAGGCAGAGATAACTGTTTCCAAGTATCCGAATCGAATTCTTGTATATTGTGTGGAGGGTGCCCATCCCATGTTTTTCGATATTGATGGGCGTGGCACAGAAATATTGCCCACAGGTACTTATTATGGAACATCTGGCGCGTATTAAACTCTATCGTGATGCTTAAACTAATTATGACTTTCATTTGTTTTTCTTAATTCATGTTGGCATTATCCATAGATTTTTTTAAGTAGTTAACTTTAGGTTACAAACAGTAATTAAATGTATGTTTTCAGTAGGAGACGAGAAAATCAGTATGTAGTGAACATTCCTTTATAGATCAACTGTTGTTGTTCCCTGCTACTGTTAATATATGTGGCAACAATTCATTTGACTCTCGTTCAACAAAGCTCACAGTTCAGGACAACACTTTCTCCTTATGTGAGGTGCAGTTGCCATTTCAGGATCAATACTATCTTTCATTTAGTACATATGACTGATCTAGCAAATACTTGTATGTTTTATGAACCTTATTTTCTCAATGAATTTGTTGGTGTTATTTTACGTAGTTCTTTCGGGTGATTAGTCAATGTAGGGATGGAATATCACGTTCCAAGAAAGATGGTATTGTACAATACGTAACTAAATATATTCTCTCTCAGGCCCTTGAGAGTTAATTTAAAATAACTGGTGGAGCCCAGCTCCATAATGATAATCCCCACGAAAGGGGAGAAGAAAAAGTAAAAATAAAAAGACAAAGCTGTTTGATCATGTAACAAAAGTCGATCAACGGAGGATGTATTTAATGGTTAATGTTGAGACTCCATAATTTTTTAAAGATACAATTTAAAGTACAATACACACTCTTGTATAATCCTATTTGCATTCTTAAAGATGCTAGAACTTGAGCACTTGTGTGTACATTCAAATATACATCTGAAAATGTCAAGATACAATTTAAAGCTTGTGCGTTATTTTATTTATTTGGTCAAAAAAGTTTGGCTTGTGTTGCTTGCATGGCACCCAATTGATACTACTGTTTTGTACAATTAATGCCCAACGTAAGCCTGTATTACAACAAAATATGTTGCGTTGTGATATAACAAGTGGAAAAGTAGCCGGGATCGCATGCTTGGGGGTCCATCCATCTCAATAATTTGACCTTGTGGAATCTATTCTATTACTTGCTGAAGCATATCTAAAGAATCTATACCTCGTGTGTCCATGAATTTGTATTATCACACCATCGTGATCATGATGATGATCGTTCAATTAATTAACCTTCTGTTAAGCTCAGCTCTGTGTACATGCAGTGTCATAGATCACAAGTGGGATACATGTATGCGTATTGTTGTTTGTTCTTTTAGAATTCTGAGACAAGATAGAAAGAATCGAACGGCCACAAATGTGTGTGACAAGAGTCTTAACCAATTGGATATTCCCGCAAATATCCCCTTCACCAATTGGGTGTTTCTGCTCTCTCCTTTTTGCTTTTCCCCTACGTGTTATGTACGTTATATTTATATATGGTTCCAAGTGCTAATGGCTGTTGAATTTGATGCCTTTGTTCTTGACGTTGCCTTCCCAAATCCCCAAGTCCCTGTTTTAACATTCCAAAGTTTTGCTGTCTGATCCGCACTTCCAGTTAACAGCAAAGACGAATCCCCTAAACCAAAAATACCACATCAGTATAACCATTACCCTAAATTAAAGACCCATATTTACACCAACTCTCGACACAAAACTGTATATCTTAACATGTTAATGTAAGTTTTAATCTCCCCGAACATTGCAAACCACATCTTTAAAAAATTTCTCTTAATGCGAAGTAGCTACATGCATTCGCGAGCGAGAAAATATAAAGTGTAGCAGCAGCACCAGTGTGTTATATCAGGATACGGAGATGGAACAGCCAGACTGATTTACTTGAAAAAAAATATGAATAGTTGAAAATTCATACAACGTGTATTTGTTTCAACAAATTAGTTAGCCGCGTGAGAACTAACAAGATTGGAATAATTCCTTTTATGCATATTTCGACCAGGGGAGACAAGGGACTTTAAAATTCTCTACCTATATGTTTCATGGGGAAACAAAAACAACACCAGCATCAGCACACCGATATTCAGTTGAGAATTGAATTATAAGTAAAAGTGAAAACAAAAAAAAAAAGGTTAAATGATTTAAATGACACTATAAACCTAAACAAAATTCATAATTAAACTAGAGAGAACACGATATGATAACAAAATGTGGCGATGGGAGCTGGTCGGGAGGGGTGGGGGACTCACTGGAGACATCGCAACACCAGACGGCTCCGTTGTGGCTACGATAAGTGCCGAGGCGTTCGCCATTGTCGGCGAACCAGACGGTTGGAGTATGATCCTTGGCGCAAGAGAATAGAAGATCGCCGTCTCTGTTGTACTTCAAAAATGTCAGGGGCCTCTCATGGCCTTTCATCAGTATCGGCCTCATCTTTCCCTGATTGAGCTTTTTTTTTTTCTTTTTATCTTTACAAAATCTAATCCCCAGAAAAGGTATACGGCAAAACTTACAAAACTGTGGTTTAATCGGATATCTCTAATGGCGAATGATAGAATAACAAAGGAAAGAAAAAGAAGAACAAAAACCCTAGTTCGTTCTGGAAACAGAAAGAGACTTGGACCTACTATGAACCGACTTGACCCGATTCGTTGGTATTACTACTACTGGTATTACTGTTTTAGCCTTTAGGAAGGCGGAACGGGCCGTAGCCCACTTATAAAAGTAGGCCCTATCCTTCTTTTGTTTGTTGCTGGCCTGGGCCTATAATACCAGTGTACATCTGTTGTTCTTTAATGCTTGATACATCAATTAAAGTAAATCTTATATACATGACAGTATACACATTATCACCGTTAAATTCATGACATATGTGTAAAAGTTAAATTTCAAATTCAAAATTTTCATAGTTGTTATTGATCCAACGCTGATAGTGTTTACACTGTCAGTGCAGGAAAGACTAATCTCATTAGAGATAAAGTGTTTTTGTATGAACAGTTTTTTAGGATTAAAAAAAAAAAAGAAAAGAGAGAGCCAAATTATTTTTGTTTTGTTTTTCAAGATAGACTAAAAAGTACAGACGAAGCCCAAAGATAATTTGTAAAAAATACAGCATTATTAGTTGGAAGTAGTTACCTAATTAAGATTATTTAGTCATAATCTTTGATTCATTGACGACTAAATGATGCAAGATGTGAAACTGCGACGTGGCAGGAGAAACTGCTGCTGCATTGGCTGCTGCTTCCTTGGTCTTCCGAACAGTTGATCCGGCATACTCTAGACTGCTGCTGACAACTGCTCAGAAAGTCATGCAGTTTGCAATTCAATACAGAGGTTCTTACAGTGACTCCCTCGGCTCTGCCGTTTGTCCATTTTACTGCTCGTATTCCGGTTATAAGGTACTGCGTTCTTTTCATTCTTCACCCAAAGAATACTAACCTTCAGAAGTGAATGATGTACAGAATGAATCATTCATTTTTAAATCTGATTTTTCCTCTGTTCACAGGATGAGTTATTGTGGGGGGCAGCCTGGCTCTTCAGAGCAACGAACAACGTTTACTACTTTAATTTCATCAGAAGTCTGGGAGCCAATGATGGAACGGACATTTTTAGCTGGGACAACAAATACGCCGGTGCTCGCGTTCTACTGTCAAGGGTAAAAACTTGCAACATCACATCGAAACATAAAATGAAACAGCTAATATATATCCAAATTCTCGTTGGACATGCATTAAAATGGAAGGTATAACAATCAATTGTCCATCGCAGAGAAGCTTGCTGAACAGAGACATGGCATTTGAGCCTTATAGGCAACAAGCTGAAGACTTTGTGTGCAGAATTTTACCAAATTCTCCGTATTCAAGCACACAATATACGCCAGGTAATGTTGATCATGGCACAAAAAGTTTAAACAGACTTTTCGTTCTGCAAATCGCATGATGGCATGAATCTTGTTTGTGAACGAACTGCAGGAGGGCTGATGTTCAAGCTAAGCCAGAGTAACCTGCAACACGTGACATCCATAACCTTCTTGCTCACCACATATTCCAAATACATGGCAGCCACAAAGCACACCTTCAACTGTGGAAACCTTTTGGTCACCTCAAATACCTTGAGGAGCCTCTCAAAGAGACAGGTGGACTATATCTTAGGCGAAAACCCTTTGAAAATGTCGTACATGGTGGGATACGGCTCAGACTATCCGAGAAGAATTCACCACAGAGGCTCCTCCTTGCCCTCGGAAGCAATTCATCCTCAGTCCTTCGGCTGTGAAGGCGGATTCCAACCATTCTACTACACCGCCAATCCGAATCCTAACATCTTAACTGGAGCCGTCGTGGGGGGTCCAAATCAGAATGATTTCTTCCCAGATGATCGGACGGATTACAGTCACTCGGAGCCTGCAACATATATTAATGCAGCTTTAGTTGGACCGTTAGCATTCTTTGCTGGGAGCTTCAACATGTGAGATGGAGTAGTCATGCTAATTAATTACTCCTATAATCAAATCCATTAGTCCATATTTGATTTGAATTAGCGCAAAAAAAGAAAATTGTAAATATGTATTCCCCGGTGCTAGGCTAGCTTGCTTGCTTGTCCAAAAACAGGGCATCATCATGCTAGTGCCACCACTAGCAAATTAGGTGGTGGAATATGAATATCAAATGCTTTAACCAAATGATTTTCGAGTCCTACCTTACGCAAACGCTTCTTTCAGCTAATCTATGAAACCAAAACCTAAAACCATTAGTGTGTCTGGATTACACGTTATTTTCACTTTATTTATATGTAATGCTTTACTTGCATCATTAATAGATATTTCAATCATCTTTTTATCTTATTACCTGCGTCACATCAAAAAAATGCTATAATATTTATTCATAAAATTATCTCAAATAATTTACTATCCAAACACACAATAGTCGTGAATTTATGAGAGAAGCGGCGGAAAAACGTCATTCATGAATGAATTCATTTACAAAGAGTAGAATAGGGAAACTGACACTAGGCCGGGTCGCAATGTAAATGATTTTAGGGGGCGTTTGGTAAGAGGGTATCGGATTCGAGAAATGGAATGAACCCCATAAATGGTGTTTGGTTCACTGGAATGGGAATTGAAATCTTGGAATGATTTCTAAAAATTTGGTGTTTCTCCATTCCCAAGTATTTTGGTGGGTTTTGTCCGATTCCCAAGTTTGATTCCAAGAAACAAATCCAATTACATATTATAATTATATAATGATATAATTAATATTTATATATATTATATTTATTAAATATTATAATATATACATATATATAATATATTATAATTATAATATTAGTACATTATATAAATATATATTATAACTATTTAGTTAAATATAATTATATTTATATAATATATATTATAAATTTATTAATATTATGTAATAATATATTTATAATATATATGTATATTTATAAATGCATATTATATGTGCATATGATTATAATATACACATGTATATAATATTAATAAATTATATAATTATATAATTATATTTATATTTATATTTACTATTTTAAATACAATAATATATAATAATTACTATATCTAATATTAATATGCATTATACTTATATAAAATATGAGTACAATTAATATTTATATATTATATAATTATAATTATGTATTTATTTTATAGTGTTTGTATAATTATAATTAATTATATATATAATAGTTAATTTAATTAGTTACAAACTTATAATAATGATGTTATTGTATTATATAATTATATATTATAATTATTTAGTTAATTATAATTATACTTATATAATATATATTATAAAATTATTAAAATTATATAATATATACGTATATTTATAAATGTATATTATATGTGCATATAATTATAATATATACATGTATGTAATATTAATAAGTTATATAATTATAATAATAATTTTTTTAAATATAATAATATATAATAATAACTATATTTAATGTGTAATATATATTATATTTATATAAAATATTAGTATAATTAATATTTGTATATATTATATAATTATATAATTATATTTAATTATATATATAATATTTAATTTAATTAGTTACAAACTTATAATGATAATATTATTATCTAAATTTACTAATACATTTATACTAATATATTTACTAATAAATTTATACTAATATATTTAATTAGTGAAAATTTCTTATATCTCATTTACAAAGAGCCAATAATTATCATTTACGATGTGGTTTATAATATATTTATTATATTCCATTCCGAAAGAGTCAACGAACCAAACATCAACTATAGTAATGATACACATTCCAGGTACTTGAACCAAACAAATATATTGGAATGAATGACCTTATTCCAAACTCAAGATATCCGATTCCGAATCCGATTCCGATTCCGATGTGCGAACCAAACGCCACCTTAGTTTAATTTCCACGCCTTCAAAGACATAATGGGCACCACACTAGGTCATGGATTTGTTTTATACAACTTGCCTTGGGCGACGCAAACATGCTCTGTAGCCAATATTGAAGTTAAGGCCTTTTTCTGGTGCGAACAAGACAGACAACAAGACAAACAAACAAACAGTACATGCAATGAAGAATGAGCAGGGCAGACAACAGACAAAGGAATTAAGAAAAATCCGTACAACCTCACCGATCAAGTTCCTAATTTGCAGCAAATGAACGATGAGCAAGAAGACGTCCCCAGGAGAATTATTTTACCCAAAATATCACAGGTTCACAACAATACTATAGTGCAATCTGTTGGTGTCTTACAATTTCAGGTCTTCAATTACAGTAAGCACTCACTTGTTCCATTTTCCCATCTTGCCAGAATTAAACCTATTGATGTATAAACATATGGAGTCCGAAGATCAGAAAGAGGAGTTCCTTCAATTTTATGGAAAAATAGTTAGAAAAAACCATTTCTCTGAGGCCACCGCCCGCTAAATACAAGAATTGCGTAAGTGGCATGGTTAGAAAAGCTCCATAAAGGCGACATTATCAAAGCCACTATTCGTTACCCCGTCTACCGCACCAAATCATTGCCACCACACCCCAAGATACCATAATAACCCCACCACTCCCAATTGAAAATGCAAGTCTTTAGTATTAGCTTAGATTTGGCTAATTTCTTAGATTATAGGTAAAAAAAAAAAACAATCCGTCAATTGTACATCTGACAGGTTGATTTTCTGAAACTATAGCGGCCGTGCTGATTCAGCACGGCCGCATGATTTTTTTTTTTTAAAAAAAAAACAGTCAGTGGGTCAAAAAGGCTTTGGACAGGCGCCTGACAGTCAAATGTCAGGCACCTGACGCCTTTTGACTGCCAGGCGCCTGACGGTTTTTTTTTTTCAATAAGCTGTCAGCAGCCGTGCCCAGTCAGCACGGCTGCTGACAGTTTTTGAAAAAAAGAGAGCGTGGCGTCAGGTGCCTGACATTTGACTAATATATAATTTATATTATATTATATATAATTTATATAGTATATAATATTTATATAAATATATTATAAATGTATAAAAAAAATTTTAAATAAAATTTTTTACAATATGTATAAATAATTATATTAGATATAATACATAATATAAATGTATATTATAAATATACATTAATATATATTTTTTGTATAAATGTACAATATATAATATATAATAATATAATTTATATAGTATATAATATTTATATAAATATATTACAAATATATAAAAGTATTTTGTAAATAAAATAAAATATTTATAATATGTATAAATAAATATATAAATATATAATATATAAATATTTAATATACATAATATACATTAATAATAATTATAAATATATAATATATACAATATACATTAATATTAATTATAAATATGGTGTTTTTATAATATTTCAATTAATAATATTTATTGTATATTTCATTATATAAATATTTATATAATTTATAACTTATAAATATATTTCATTATATTAATTCCTGCTTATTAGAATACATGAATCTTTCTTTAATTAACAACTATTATGCATTTGATAATGATTTAATAATAATACAAAATTTAAGTAAAAAATCATGTTCTATTTACAATACAAAGGCATCTAGGGACATGAATAATGAGGTTAAGTGAATGTATTTATTTTAAAAATTAATAAATTGAAGTATATTTAGGATTATGGTTAAAATTTAGTTTAATCAGGTTATTTTGAAAATTAAATTAATGAAATTTATTTAGGATGGCTGTGAAATTCTAGTTTACTAAAATTATTATAAAAACTATATAAGCGACTATTTTGGCGGAGATTATACATAAATGAATAAAATAGAGTTAGAATACCATTTAAATTTTGTTCATGGGCTCACGCCAGGACCCTACCACTGTTCAATTTATTAATTTTTAAAATAAATACATTCATCTAACCTCATTATTCATGTCCCTAGATGCCTTTGTATTGTAAATAGAACATGATGTTTTACTTAAATTTTGTATTATTATTAAATCATTATCAAATGCATAATAGTTGTTAATTAAAGAAAGATTCATGTATTCTAATAAGCAGGAATTAATATAATGAAATATATTTATAAGTTATAAATTATATAAATATTTATATAATGAAATATACAATAAATATTATTAATTGAAATATTATAAAAACACCATATTTATAATATTAGAATATTTATAATTAATATTAATGTATATTGTATATATTATATATTTATAATTATTATTAATGTATATTATGTATATTAAATATTTATATATTATATATTTATATATTTATTTATACATATTATAAATATTTTATTTTATTTACAAAATACTTTTATATATTTGTAATATATTTATATAAATATTATATACTATATAAATTATATTATTATATATTATATATTGTACATTTATACAAAAAATATATATTAATGTATATTTATAATATACATTTATATTATGTATTATATCTAATATAATTATTTATACATATTATAAAAAATTTTTATTTAAAATTTTTTTTATACATTTATAATATATTTATATAAATATTATATACTATATAAATTATATATAATATAATATAAATTATATATTAGTCAAATGTCTTTTGGCGTCAGGTGCCTGACGCTCTCTTTTTTTCAAAAACTGTCAGCAGCCGTGCTGACTGGGCACGGCTGCTGACAGAGTATTGAAAAAAAAAACCGTCAGGCGCCTGACAGTCAAAAGGCGTCAGGTGCCTGACATTTGACTGTCAGGCGCCTGACCAAAGCCTTTTTGACCCACTGACTGCTTTTTTTTTTTTTAAAAAAAATCATGCGGCCGTGCTGAGTGAGCACGGCCGCTATAGTTTTAGAAAACCAACCTGTCAGATGTACAATTGACGGATTGTTTTTTTTTTACCTATAACCTAAGAAATTAGCCCTTAGATTTACTTCCCTAATAAAAATTTCAGCAGCAGGAGTACATAGCGACAGATAAAAAGAGCAAATAAGTGCAGGATTTTTAATGACTAGGGACAAAAAAAAATATGCAAAACACTACAATAATATATTGATTGATAAGAAACTTTACAGCAAGCCTTTGACACCTTCCTACACTAGTACCTTGCAACCTCTCCA